ACCAAACACGGCCCCTCTTTTTCGCTTCCGCGGTCGAATTTCATCAGGATCTCAGTTATTGCTGCTTTCTTGTGCCCTGTTCAATTCAAGACCGTTCTCTATTACTGGTTTCGAGATCTCCTTTGTTCCTTGGCTCAACGGCTACGGTTGCCATTGGATTGGGGGGCCGCGGGGCTGGCTGTGCCCTCCTCCTAGGGATCGTCACCGTTCCCTCCCGTCCCTGGGCTACTGGTCTCCCCAGCGCGCCATCCCGTCCACCGGAAGACGGAAGGACGGACGGACTCACCGGTGACATCGTGCCCCACATCAGTGTCCGTTTCGCGGCGGCCACCTCCTCAACGAGAGCTTCTACTGCCGTATACTGTACAATTTCGATCAATTCGGCACTAATCCAGAAATTTTAGTACAATTAAAATCCAAAAGAATTCGGATAAATTGAGAAAAAATTATTGCCGCAATAAAAAAAATTGGGCGTGACGCGTGATTGCCGAATTGAATGAAATTGTACAGTATCCTTTCTGGGCGATCCTCACAATGTCGACGAAGGACCCCTGCAGAGCATATACTTGGTGACGGCAAGTCGCTGTTTGAGAGTGGCCACTTATGCCACGGCAAAGGGCCCCAAGATCGTTTTCACTGGTCCTGCGTCGGCGACGGCCCGAGAACAATACCGTATCATTTCAATCAAATCGACAGTCACGCGTCACGCGTCCCGGTGTCGATGTCGAAATTCGGTCGAGGTCACGCGTCACGCGGGCCGTTGTCGAACCTCGCAAGCGTGACATTGTCCCCAAAAGTGGTCCCAAAACGCGAAAAAGGCGAAATTTCTGAAATTTTCCTGTCCGATTGTCGAAAATTTTGGGGATGTCACGTAAAATTTTGGCCACTGTCGAAATGTCGAATAGGTAAATTCTGTCACGCGTCACAACCCCTGTCGATTTGATCGTAATGATACGGTACCTCCAAAGGGGCCAGGATCTCGACTACCTAATCGGCTCGCAAAGCCTCGAACGAAATCTTCCACTGTCAAAGTTCGACAGTGCTGGTATGCGGCGACATCTTTGCTATCGTCTCTACTAGTCTCTTTTTAGCTACGCATCGCGTTCGCCATCGGCCACCAGTGGTCCTTGACGTGCGACGGTGGTTTCTCATAACCCCAGATGATGGTGTATAATTTTACCCTCGGAACGGACACCGCATAGCGGCATGTCAATAAGCTGCGAGCCTAGCAGAACAAGTACGTGGTGATTCGTTCGCGACTCATGATCACTACTGTTCTGCGCCTGCGCACCGCACAGCCTTAAGTTCCATGTCCAAGCTGCGCGCGCAGCGCCAACGCCGCGTTGAGCTCGGCGCTGCCTAGCCGTACCCCTCCTGTGATATGCACGCAAAACCCAATTTTATTTTGCTACTTTATGGTGATTGTGTGGAAAAAACATGATTAGAATTGAAGTATGACTCACTGTGTGAGTGTTGTATCTGTGCTGCTGTACATCGTAATCGCCCAGAAGCTCACCAGCTACTAGGATCTGATCAATAATATCGCCAGCGCTCGTCCGGCCCAAAGATATTCGGTTCCGAGCCGATGAGCGAGGAATGAGCCCGTGCGAGCCGCCACTAGTGACAGTGGCGGGCTTAATTATATTACGGTTGCCAGTTGTCGTGAGCGCTTATCCGCTAGGCTCCTCCCTCCTCCTCCGCAGTCCCTTTCTGTACACTCCTCAGTCCGAATTAGGAATTGGCCATTACTGCGGCCCTTCTTGGACCTCTGTCTTGGCTTCTGTTGTGCGCCTCCTTCTTCAGCCCAAGACCATATGCATCCTTTCTCTTCGTCCTTCTCCCTGCATTGCCAAGCCCGACTGTTGCCAGCGAATTTGGATCCTTCAATTGGAGGCCCGAGTATCAGCTCCCCCTCCCCCATTGTCCATTGAGTCGATTCGTCAAACCATTGATCACCCAGCAACCTCAATAACCTGCTGTCCGCGGAAGCAATCTCAAAGTTCTTGTCGCCAAGACTAGCTACTAGCTAGGGGTTGGCTAGGGATCGCCTCAGGTTCATCCATGATCCAACCCAAGCTGAAGGCTATGTCCTGCGAGGGTTCGTGCGCTTGGGCTGCTGCGCATCCGCAGTAGTGTCCCTTTCCGCCAATATAAGCTGTACGCTGGAATAGCACTCTTTCCGGATTCGGATTTAAGGATCCCACCATGCGATCACTCGTGGTGGGGCCAAGCTGATGGCCAAGACAACATATTACCTCGATTACATAAATACAACGTCACCGCGCCCTCCTCGTGTTGCCTTTCATCCGTCTTGCACTCGTACCACCACCATGCAGCCCATCTCTGTCCCCGTCGCGAAACAGCCCTCTATGGATCTGTACACCGAAAAACCTCCTGCATATCATGCCTACGCTCACGTCCATCCACATATGCACGACCACGACGACGCCTCCGAGTCGCAGTGGTCGTTTGAGAACCCCCTCTGCTGTCCGTGCTATCTGTGCGCGTGCTGTGGCGGCTTAGGTATCTATTCCTTCTACCCAAATAATGTTTAAGCTGATTGAAATTCGATTCCAGCGTGTCTCGAATGCATCGGCTGCGGGCTGTGTGCGGATGGGGTGGAGCAGATGTGATGCATCCCTGCTCGCCTGCCTCTCTCGGAGTGCAAATTGCGCCATCGGATGCGGTAAATGGGATTGGATAAATGCGCAATTGGATAGTGCGCAAATATGGTGAGATGAGCTCGAGCTCGAGTGTAATTAGTGGACACGGACCTATTATGTACATAATGTAATATATTACCGCACAGCAACTCTGCATCTTATTGGGACTTTGCTGGGCTGTAATGTTGAACCTTTCATCCGTGTGGTGGATGACGTTTGAACAAAAATGTTACGGTGAAGGACCAAGATCTGGCCCACCTAACTCACAACTTCCTATTTGAAGTGAAGCAGGGGGGGTGAACGCACACCACCAGGTCTTTCCCGTTATAAAACGGCGTGCTTCAAGGCCACGTGCTTGAGCTGCGACCTTCCGGCGGTTCAAATTGTGAGGTTTCCGTTTCTCGTTGACGTTGTGTCGGACTTGCTGTGACCTTGACTACCGAGGAAAGAACGAGTGTTTGAGCGAGAGAGGCGAAGCGGGAAATAGCACCCAATAAGGTCCAGAACAAAAAAACGCGAGATCAACTAGCCAGCCAAGACGAATAGAGGTTCGACCGCTGAATATTCCTGCAGAGCTATGTGAAGTAGGAATGTGACCGCATACCACCAGGTCTTTCCCCTTATAAATTGGGACTCCAGTTTACAGCTGCACAACCGACAGTTCACCTTACGCAGTGCCGGGAAGGGTCGTTGAACCGAATCAAAGTGCAGATACTGTCCCGACCATCATCGGAAGCGAACTTGAAGTAAGAAGAGCTGCATTTCACTTGAGAAAAAATATGGATGACCGAACACTAGCGAAGACCTAGCCCCGAGTCGAACAGGCTCCCCACTTGATTGCAAGTAAGCACAAATCAAAAGCGGGTGTGTGGCCGCACACCGCCAGGTCTTTCCTCCGACAGGCTGAATTTCTAGAGTTCAAGTTCCGTATGAACCCAAACTATTCGAGGGGAATTTTTTCGATCAGGAATACAAAACCAATGGAATTTCTGGTTGAAACTTTTAACCAGGGCGAGATGCTAGGCGGAAGTTAGAAGAGCGCTTGGCATTCATCCATTGATTTGAAAAAAAGAGAGGTACGAACATCAAGTGGACCTGACTCCGAGTCGAACGAGGGTCACTGACCCTTCCGCTTCAAATTAGGTGTGACCGCACACCACCAAGTATTCCAACTTACACGGTGCATTCAATCCATAGTTCAGGCTCACCCTGAGCCCAAACCATCCGGGCGGAATATGTCCTACTGATTTGAGATACAAATCAGATAAATTTATGGACGCGAGGTTGAAGTTGGAGGAAAGGGTGGCATTCAGGTAGCATTCACTGATAAAAAGCGAGCTCTAGCTCAACAGTCAAGCCCTGGCCCCGAGTCGAACGGGGGTCCCACTTCATTCGCAGATTCAATCCTCACGTGAAGCGGGGGTGAGGCCGCACACCGCCAGGGCATTTACACCGTGAATCAGGACTCAGACTTGAAGGTTGTATTCGATCCAGAGCCAGCGCGAGTCCAAAACATTGCAGAGGAATTTGTCCGGCCTTGATTAGAGCAACAAATCATAGACTCGAACCAGTCCCAGGCGCAAAAGATCAAAGACAGTCGTTTGATCAGTGCGCCGGAGGGACTGGAAGATAATCACCGGTGGCCTAGTGACCGGACATTGCCGATCAATGATTTTCTGACTTGGTCAAATACTTCGATAGTCCATTGTAAAAGTGTTTTGAATCAAAAATCTGAAGAAACGGTCTTTTAGCGCTCAAAATTACAAGACTTCGGATGTTTTTCATTTTCCCAGAGAATGGAGAATGCGACTTCAATGAATTAATTGAGGTACTCGCGTCATCCTCGACAGTCATTGGACTTTCGGCTGTCAATTCACGTGGTTTCATGGCTTTCATTGTGAAATTCATAGCAGGGTCAGTTCTGCGTGAATTGAAAAACAAAAAACACCGAAACTCTTGTAATTGCAATCACCACAACACTGTCTGCTCAAATTTTGCATACGAAACACTTTTACAATGCGCTAGCGAAAATTTTGGTTAAGTCAGAAATTCATTGATCGGAAATCTCCGGTCACTAAGCCACCGGTGATTATCTTCCAGTCGTTATTTAACTGCTGTATTGATCGACTGTCATCATTACTCAGAAATATCGACTGGCTCGAGTCTAAACAAATCAGTTAAAATTTCTGTTTGAAAATTTCAACCAGGGAGTAGACTTGAGTGAGAAAAAAAGCCTAGTATTGATATTTATTCTGTTTTGGCACTGCTGCGGCACAATCGCTTTGCCAGAGCTTAGAATTCGCTACTGAAAAAAAGAGGAATACGAGATCATTACTAAGACCTGGCCCCGAGTCGAACAGGGGTCTCCCGCTTCACTGGAAGGAAAATATACCGCCTCATGAAAAGCGGGCGTGTAACCGCACACCACCAGGTCTTCTTATGCCTCAAACAGCGTGGTTTAGGGTCAATTTCTCGAGCGGCAACATTTCGCCCGTTGTGAGCGTTTGACTCAAACGACCTGTAGGATTGCGTTCGACTTTGGTTGAGAAACTGGATTCATCTAATTTGAACCAGAGCAGCAGAGTTGAAGCGGGCAAGCCTCACCTTCAGCGTTGGAAAAAAGAGAACCACGAATGGAAAAGCCCTGGCCCCGAGTCGTCTCCCACTTTATTGGTGGAATTACCTGCGCAGGTAAAGCAGGTGTGGCCGCACCACCAGGTCTTTCCGTATGTAAATCAGCAACTCACAGTCGATATTTCAAGGGTCATTGAACTGAGCGGGTGCGACCGAGGATACCTCCGACATTGAATCGAGGTACAAATCAGTTCAACAACAACGGGGGAAGGGAACCTGAAGTCAGCGAAAAGACCTCGGACTCGCAGGCGAAAAAGATGATCTGTTTATACACTGAATAAGACCTGGCCAGTCATTCACCTACTCTCGGTAGTGAATGGAGGATATCAGCGTTATTGCTTCAAAAGTTGAAGCCCACGGCATTGAGTCCGCAGGCATGTTCTAGCGCGGGAAACAAAACAGAGCTATTTTGCTGCAGAAACAAAGGATTCAAGAACGAAATATAGACAATCAGCATGCGCGAGCTTTGACGCGCACAAGAGACAAACGGAAAAACCACTGGCGATTGCCACAACACCGGCGCAATAAAATCTCCCCGTGGCACGCCGGCCCGACACCTCGGAGCCAGATGCCCCCACAAGCCATTGCAGCCGAAAATTCGTGATGATCACCAATGAAGGGCAAGCTATACGGGAGGCCGTCGACACGCCTATTTTGACATTGGATGACCGCGCATCAAATGCCATTTCGGCTTATTAGGTGCCGACGGGATTGATGGTGGGATATTTCATGGGATTTCCAACTCCCGAATTTTCTGGACATTTCTGGTTCGAAATTTCACACCAAATAAAGGAAAATTTCAGTCCAGACTGAAACTGTGCTTGATTTTCTGAAAACATCCACATAAATCAATGGACCTGAAATGGTTGAATTCACAAAGCCTGAAACTCAATTACATATTGTAAGAATCCACATGAGAATCAGGTGTGGCAAAACAAAGCAAATCCAGTGCGGCTGAAAGGGCCATTGAAACTTCAAAATCAGTGCATCTGTCAGCCTTTGAGAAACAAAGGATCTCAGCATGAGTTTCAGTCCAACAGAAATTTTGCTTTGAAGGCCTTAACATTTAAGCCCTTTGCCCTTTGGGCGAACACTGAGTATCAGCGATTTCCCTTATACCAAGTTTTGTCCCGCCAAGACTAGCTAGGAGTCGCCTCCGAGTCTATCGCTTTCCATCCAAGCCAAGGCTACTTATGTCCTATACCTACGGGCTGGCCTAGTGGCTGCGCAATTCCGCAGTATCCCTTTCCGCTAACGTCAACGCGGGCTGCTATACACTGGAACGGCACGAATTAGGATTTGATTTAGCCATTACATCGATATCGTGCAAGGTGGCCAAGAACTTACCTCTGCGAAAACTTCGTCCAACGTCCTCGTGTTCCTCCTTCTGTCTTGCCTTTTGATTATATTCTCCTTGCTCTGGTACCACCACCACAACGTATGTAGCCCATCTCCGCCCTCGTCGCGGAACAGCCCTCGATGTAGCTGTATCCTGCTGTGGACGAAAAGCCTCCTGCATACGCATACCACGCGCACTCACACCCGCTTGACGACTCGGAGGCCCCCTTCTCACCCAACCTGGCACAAATCCTGTCACGACGGCCGTCTACGATCTGTCCTCGTCCCCCCCCCTAATAGGTATCGTCTTGTTCTCGACGATAGGCACCCTTCTGTGCTTCCCTCACGCGACCAACAAAATAATCGAGATTCGAGAGACTATTCCACGTTAAGCGCGGAATAAACTATACCTAGTCGTCATCTTCATCAACCTCCCCCATGCGCTCGTCCTCGGCGCCATGGTCAGTGTGGTGCTGCATTTTAGGCTACATGTACACAATCCCTTCCCTCCCGTCAGCCCATTTCGGTTTTCGAACCATATAATCTGCACGCGGCTCGAAGTGGCGTGGTTCAAGCTCCATATTAACGCAGGGCTACCTGGAGCGCAAACGGGATTGTGAAGTTTCTCGTTTCCTTCTGACGATCTCTCGGATTCTTTATTAGTGGAATTCCCGGTTGAAAGTTTCAACCAGGCAGGCAAACTTAAGGTCAAAAAAAAAAGACCTCGCCTTCGGCCGAAAAAATGACATCCACTCGAGAAAACACCTGGCCCCGAGTCGAACGGGGGTCGCCCACTTTAGTCGTCAACGTAAAGCAGGTGTGACCACATACCACCAGGTCGTTCTCTGCTTGACTTGGAGCTCTGATTCATAGGCTGCATTTAATCATTAAACGGTAGTTCCGAGTCGAGGTCAACGCGAGCCCAAACAATTCGAGAGGATTATGTCTGACCCTGATCGGGAATAAAATCAACGAAATTCATGATTCGAAATTCCGAGGGAAACGAGTTTGAACTTGTTGCAAAAGGTGGCTTCAAAGACTCATGCACTCATGACTCAAGCCCAGTGAAAACGACGCCTCGGGAGGCATCGCCGGGTATCGGCTGGGCCTCGGACAGGCTCGGACCGCATCGTCAAAGCAAGTCTTGACTCTTCGGATGCCCCGCGATACTCGCCGATACCAGACGCTGCTACACGCAGCTATTTCCGGACACCTTAGATGCCTTGAGATCCTCGGGATCGGGAGGTATCGCGTGGTATTGTATGGTATAGAATACAATGATAATGCTATTGCTTTTATTATTCCTTGCACCCGCCTGCTCACCGCGCCCGCGCCACCCGCTGCCCGTCCGCCCACTTCCCTGTGGTTTCAGCTTGCACCCCTGCTCAGCCCCCTCATCCCCGTCCACGTTAACGCTTCCCATCCCAGCCGCCAGCCCCACTATTGCCGAGCTCGCACCCATCATCAAGATGCTACACACACCAATTAGTCGTGCAGGCAGAATAACTGAATACAAATGCTCACCGGACGTTGCTTGCGTGTGTGCGGTAGAAGTAGCTGCTGCCTGCAGAAGGGATGTGAGTAATTTACAATTAATGATGACAAAAAACATACCTTGGCGGTCTTTGCCTGCTTTTCCTCGTCCCTCCAGAATTTCTTCTTGTCGGAAGGCAGGCTGGCGAAATATATATCGAAGTCAGCCTTGCCGGCATCTGGGTTTCGTTTCTTGTAGTCATACGCGCACATGCCTCTGATAACTCATGTGAGTAAGTGCGTGGCTAAGAGAAGTATAGGTGACTCCACTTGGCAGTTGTCGAGGTTCCGAGGGGATTCCAGGCCCTCGTCTTCTTTTCAGTAGCTGTTGAGACCGGCGGCGAAGGCGTAGACGATGGTGCAGTAGTAGACGCAGGTGTGCGCATCGGTGTCGGTGCGAGGGTGGAGTCGGGAACGCGCACAATTGACGCAGGCGCGGGCATCAGTGTCGGTGCGAGGGTAGACTCAGTCGTAAGCACCACCGATGGTGCAGCAGTAGACGCAGGTGCTGGCGTCGGTGTCGGTGCGAGGGTAGAGTCGGGTGCGGGTGCAACGGGTGCAAACGATGGTGCACCAGGCATTGAGACAGGTGCAGGCAACAGCGTCAGCGCGAGGGTAGAGTCGGGTGCAGTCGACGTAGGCGCAGGTGCCAGTGCCGGCGCGAGGGTAGAGTCGGGCGCATTCAGCGTAGGCGCGGGTGTCGGTGCCGGCGCGAGGGTAGAGTCGGGTGCAGTCGACGTCGACGCCAGCGTCAGTGTTGGCGCGAGGGTAGAGTCGGGCGCAGGTGATGGCGTAGGTGCTGGTGTTGGTGTCAGCGCTAGGGTAGAGTCGGGAGGAGCAGGCGCTGGCGTCGGGGTTGGTGGAAGGGCCGAGTCTGGAGCAGGAGAGAAGCTGGGTGCCGGAGTCCGCCCAAAACTGTTGGTGTATAAGCACATGAATGTCACAGTTGAATAAAGACACTTGCAGAGGATTTTTCGGGCGCTGTAACCAGGCAATATTGTGAGAGAATTTTTATACAGAGCAGGAGCGGCCTTACCTGACCTTGAGCCGCCTTTCCCTTCCTATCCGGTACGCTAGCAGTGGAGGTCGAGCTCGAAACCTTTGATTTGAGTTTCTTTGCAGCAGGCGGCGGATGGCTGGGGGCGCCTTTGCGTTTCGACCCTGTTTCTTCTGCTGGATCTTCCAAATCGGACTCGACCGCATCCATTTCGATATCTGAATTAGGCTCCGTCTTGACTCTGTTGCGCTTCGGGTTATGGGTACCACACCAGCTAGAGTAGGTGATACTAGCGAGACGATCAGCCTTCCAGTGGCCGCCACAAAAACGCAAATCGGGAATCTCGGATTCAATGTTGGCGCGGAAACTTTGTTTGTCTGCAAGAGTTACTTGGGTCCAGGTATCTGGCAGGGAGCCCGACTTCTTTAATCCAAAGTAGAAAGAGGCGCATATCGAACGAGCTTCGGTGATGCGCTCCGGGGTCGGGTATGTGCCGTCCTCAGTGGTAATGAATAGCAGAGAATTTTTCGTCGCCACTGGGTTTTCTGGAGTAGAATCTCGCCCAATATCGTTTTTAACCTTCCGATTCCACAATTTTTGCTGCCAGAAAGTCGCCTCAGGGAAATCGTTTTCGGAGTAGACCACAAGTGGTGGAGCTGGGAGAATATCGGGCACAGTAGAAGACGAGGGCGTAGGACTAGGGCGGTGGCGAGGAACCGAGGGCAACGCTGGTGGCGGATTCGACATTGAGCTCAAAAGCGAATTAAAATTGTTTCTGGATTTTAGAATGTCAGAAGGCCAAACAGGTTTCCAAAATCACGACATACTGCAAGGTAGACTTTTCCGCCTCCAGAACAAGGATACGTTGTTGTAGAAGTGCATTTTCATTACGAATCAGCTGCATATCTTGACGAGAGCTAGAGTGTTGGTAT